AGTGGGAGGAGGAGAGAAGAAAGAGGAGGAGGAGGAGATGGAGTAGAGATGATGATGTTGATTATGATGAGGAGAAGAGAAGGAGAAATAAGAGGAGATAGGGAGGAGGAGGAGGTGATGAGCAAGGAGGAGATGGAGGAGGAAGAGGAGGAGGAGATGAAGGAGGAAGAGGAGGAGGAGGAGAAGGATCAGGAGATGGAGAGGTGGAGGAAGAGGAGAGAGATAAGGAGGAGGAGGAAGAGATGGAGGAGGAGAAGGACGAGGAGGAGGATAACAAGGATGAGGAAGAGGAGGAGAAGTAGAAGCAGGAGGAGGAGTAGGAGCAGCAGAGGAGCAGCAGGAGATGGAGGAAGAGGAGGTGAGATATTCAGAGGAGGAGGAGAAGGAGATGTAGGAGGAGGAGGGGGAGGAGGAGGAGGAGGAGGAGGAGGAGGAGGAGGAGGAGAAGGGAGGAGGAGGAGAGATGAAGATGATGATGAGGAGGAGAATGAGGAGAGGGTGGAGGGGAAAGGGGAGGAGAAGGAGGAGGATAAGGAGGTGGAGGAGGATAAGGAGGTGGAGAAGGAGAAAAAGAAGATGGAGGAGGAGGAAGAGAACAAGGCAGAGGAGGAGATGTAAGACGAGAAGAGGAGATAAAGTAGAAGGTGAAGGAGGGGGAGGAGGAGGAGGAGGAGGAGGAGAGATGATGATGTTGATGATGAGGAGGACGATGAGAGATGAGAAAGAGGGAGGAGAAGGAGAAAGACATGGAGTAGGAGTTAATGGAGGAGGAGGAGAAGTAGTGGGAAGAGGAGGAAGAGGAAGAGGAGATGGAGGAGAGATTATGATGATGATGCAGAGGAGGATCGATGAGGAGGAGGAGAAGAAAGAGGAGGTGATATAGGAGGCAGAGGAGGAGAAGGAGGAGGAGATGGAGGAGAGATGATGAGGAGGAGGAAGAGCAGGAGAAGAGATGAGGAGAAAGAGGAGGAGATGGAGGAGAAGATGAAGGAGGAGAAGTAGGGCCAAGAGGAGAAGGAGGAGGAGGAAGAGGAAGAGAATGAGAAGGAGGAGGAAGTAGGGGGGAGAAGAAGCAGGGGTAGGAGGAGGAGAAAAAGGATATGGAGGAGGCAGAGGAGAAGGAAAAGGATGAGAGGAGATGGAGGAGAGGTGATGATGATGATCAGGAGGAAGAGGAGACATTATGATAAAGAATAGGAGGAGAGAGATGATGATGAGGAGGAGGAGGAGGAGAAGGAGTAGGAGGGGGAGATGGAGGAGAGATGATGATGTTCATGAGGAGGAGGAGGAGATATGAGGAGGAGGAGGAGGAGCAGAAGTAAGAGGAGATGCAAGAGGAGGAGATGGAGGAGAAGAGGAGGAGGATGAGGAGGAGAGATGATGACGAGGAGGAGGAGAGTAGAGATGATGAGGTGGAGGAGGAGGAGGGGGAGGAGGAGGAAAAGATAGAGAATGATGGGGAGGAGAAGGAAGGGGGGAGGAGGAGGATGGAGAGGAGGAGGATGGAGAGGAGGAAGAGGAGGAGAAACAGGAGGAGGAGAAGGGGGAGAAGGAGGAGGCAGAGAAAGAGGAGGAGGAGATGGAGGAGAGATGATTATGTTGATGATTATAATGAGGTGAAGGAGATGGAGGAGAGATGAAGAGGAAGAGGAGGATAAAGAGGAGAGATGAGGAGGAGGAGGAGAGGGAGGAGAAGGAGGAGGAGGAGATGGAGGAGGAGGAGACGAAATAGGAGAAGGAGGAGAAGGAGGAGAAGGAGGAGGAGAAGGAGTAGTAGAAGTAGGAGGAAGAGACGAAGGTGCAGGAGAAGGAAGAGATGGAGGAAGAGGAAGAGGACGAGATGGAGAAGGAGGGGGAGGAGGAGATGGAGGAGGAAGAGGAGCAAAAGGAGATGGAGGAGAGATGATGATGATGATGATGATTCAGAGGAGGAGGAGAGATGAGAAGTAGGAGGAGGAGAGATGATGATGATGATGATGATGATGATAAGGAGAAGAGATTAGAAGGAGGAAGAGGGGGAGGAAAGAGATGAAGAAAAGGAGGAAGAGAGGGAATAGAAGGTGGAGGAGGAGGAGATGGAGGAGTGATGATGATGTTTATGAGGGGGAGGAGGAGATATGTGAAGGAGTAGGAGGAGAAGGGGAGGGAAAAGAGGAAGGAGGAGTAGATGGAAGAGGAGAAGATGTATATGGAGGAGGAGAAGAAGTATGAGGAGGAGGAGGAGAAGTATGAGGAGAAGGAGGAGGGGGAAAATTATGAGGAGGTAGAGATTGAGGAGGAGGAGCAGGAGATGAAGGAGAGGTGATGATGTTCATGCAGAGGAAGAGGAGGAGATATGTGAAGGAGGAAAATGAGGAGAGGGAGGGGGAGAATGAGGAGAAGGATCAGGATGAGGAGGAGAGATGAGGAGGAGGAGGAAGAGAAGGAGGGGGAGTTGGAGGAGGAGAAAAAGAAGGAGGAGGAGAGAGATGAGCTGGAGGAGGAGAAGAAGGAGCAGGAGGAGGATAATGAGGAGCTGGAGGAGGAAGAAAAGGAGAAAGAGGAGGAGATGGAGGAAGAGGAGGAGCAGGAGGAGGAAAAGGAGAGAAATGAGCAGGAGGAGGAGAAGAAGCAGGAGGAGGAGGAGGAAAAGATGGAGAAGGAGAAGGAGGAGGAGATGGAGGAGAGATGATGATGATGAGGAGGAGGGATTAGGAGGAGGAGGAGCAGAGGGAGGAGATGGAGGAGGAGATGGAAGAGTAGGAGATGGAGGAGAGGAAGAGAAGGAGGGAAAGGAGGAGGAAGAGAAGGAGGAGGAGGAGGAGAAAAGATGATGAACAGCAGGAGGAGAGGGAGAAGGATATGGAGGAAGAGGAAATGGAGGAGGAGGAGGAGGAGCACAGAGGATGAGGAGGAGCCGGAGGAAGAGGAGGAGATGGAGGAGGGAGAATGAGATGGAGGAGATGGAGGATGAGAAGGAGAAGAGGGAGGAGAAATAGGAGGAGATGCAGGAGGAGAAGATGGAGGTGGAGAAGAGGAGGAGGAGGATATGGAGGAGAAGGAGGAAAAGATGAAGAAAGAGAAGGAGGAGGAGAAAAAGGAGAAGATGGAGGACGAGAAGGAGGAGGAAGAGGAGGAGGAGGAGGAGGAGGAGAGGGAGAAGGAGCAGGAGGAGGAGGAAGAGGAGGAGATGGAGACGGAGGAGGAGGAGAGAGATGAGCAGCAGGAATAGAAGGAGTAGGATGAGGAGGAGGAGTTAGAGGAAGGAGGAGGAGGAAATAGAAAAGAGATGATGTTGATGATGAGGAGGAGGAGAGATGAGGAGGAGACGGAGGAGAGGGAGGAGGTGGAGAAGGAGTGGAAGTAAAAGGAAGAGGAGGAGAAGGAGGAGCAAGAGAGGGAGAAGCAGGATGAGATGGGGAGGAGGAGATTGAGGTGAGAAGATGGAGGAGGAGAGGAAGAAGGAGCAGGAGAAAGAGGAGATGGGGAAGAAGGAAGAAGAAGAGGAGATGGAGGAGTAGGAGGAGGAGAGAGATGAGCAGGAGGAGGAGAAGAAGGAGCAGGAGCAGGAGGAGGAGGAGAAGGAGCAAGAGGAGGAGGAGGAGATGGAGTAAGAAGGAGGAGGAAGAGGATAAGGAGCAGGAGGAGGAGATGGAATAGAGATGATGATGTTGATGAGGAGGAGAGATGAGCAAAATAGCAGTATTTTATTCTAAATTTAATGAGTTAATTTTAACTGACAAGTATATATATATAGATATATAGATAGATATATATAGATATATTGAGATGATTAATCAAGATATTATTATTATTATCATTATTATTGGCTGCAGAAGGAGCACAGAGCCTTACACATGCCAGGAAAGCATTCTACCACTGAGATAAACTCTCAGACCCCAGAATAATAGCCTTTACCCCCTTCCCCCTCCCCCTCCTCCTACTCCTTCTTTTTAATCTTCTTCTTCTCTCTCTCTCTACTGGAGAATTGAACTGAGAGGTGCTTAATCACTTAGCCACATCCTCAAATCTTTTTTTTTTGTTTTTTTTATTTACAGACAGGGTCTCGCTGAGTTGCTCAGGGCCTTGCTAAATTGCTTAGGCTGGACTCTAACTCAACATCCTCAGCCTCCCAAATCACTGGGATTATAGGCATGTGACCACACCAACTCCCTGAAGAATATATTCATTTCTAACTGTGAAAGGTCCTAAAGAGGAGGCAGATTAAATACCATTTATTCAATAATTAACTTATATAAAAAAAAAAAACATTTGCCATCATGTGAAAAAGTCCTAGCAGTTGATGTGCAGAAGAAGCTAAGTTAGTGGCCAGGGAAATGTCACTGAAATTAGGAATGTGCACAATGATAAGTGACCTGCCATTTGCTCTCAATAGGCGGCTTCCTAGGCAAAACACTAATAGATTCCACCTTCCATTCTCCTGGATACTCAAATAACTACAATTAGCATCTTTTTCTGTATACAGATTTTTCTTTTTTCTTTTTTGTTTTTGGTACCAGGATTAAACCCAGAGGTACTTAACTGCTGAGCCATATACAAGCCCTTTTCTTTCTTTTTTTTTTTTTTTTGTAATTTGAAACAGAATTTTATTACATTGCTTACAGGCTCAATGATTTGCCCAGACTGGACTCACACTCCTGATCCTCCTTCCTCAGCCTCCAGATTTGCTTGGATTATGGGTGTACACTATCACAACCTGTTACTACACTTTTTTTTATTTCTTTAACTGTTATTAAGACTTCACAAAATTGACAAACACCCCAAAACAGTTTCCCCTATGTTAACATATTAATATAGCATGTTTGTTACAATCCATGAAGCATTACTAAATTTGGTCCATGGGTCACTCTGATTTCCTGAGTTCCACTGGTRTTGATTCTGCTTCAGGACCCACCCACCTCCACTAAGGTAGCATGTCCCCTTTGGCTCTTCTTCATCATGACGGTGCCTAGACTTCCTCATCTTTGATGACCTTGAGAGCTTTTAGGAACACTGGTCAGTTATGCTATAGGATCTCCCTCTACTGGAATTTGTCTAAAGTTGTTCTCATTATCATTCTGGGGTCGCTGGTTTCTGGTAGAAGATGACAAGAGTTAAAGGGAAATTTGCATCACACCATGGCAAGGGTACATGTCAACATGACCTGTCACTATTGACCTTGACCTTGATCAGCTGGACAAGAAAGTGTTTGTCAATTTGCTCCACTGTAAAGTTACCAGCATCAGATTTTTGGGGGGTGGGTACTGAAGATTGAACTCGGTGCATTCAACCACTGAGCCCCATCCCCAGGCCTATTTTGTATTTTAAGACAGGACCTCACTGAGTTTCTTAGTGCCTCACTTTTTCTGAGGCTGGCTTCAAACTTGTGATATCCCAGACTCATCCTCCCAAGCCAGTGGGATTACAGCAGATGTACCAGCAGGGTTTTTTTGTTTGTTTCTTTTCCTTATCTATTTGTTTCTTTTTTGTGCTTAGTGATTTGAATCTGCATGCCAGGATAGCTCTAAGTCACATTCCCAGCCCCCCAGCAGATATTTGAACTAATATTTTTTTCTTCACTCTAGTAAAATGGTCTTCATATGTTCATTGAAAAATAAAATAGAATGAAACCAAAAGAAATAGAGCTTCTTCTTTTCTTCTTCTTCTTCTTCTTCTTCTTCCTCCTCCTCCTCCTCCTCCTCTTCCTCCTTCTTTTTGAGACAATGTCTTGCTAAATTGCTTATGGCCTCTCTAAATTACTGAGGCTGGCCTCAAGATTGCTATCCTCCAGCCTCAGCCTCCACAGCCACTGGGATCACAGGTGTGTGCCACTGTGCTGTGCTTAGCAGCAGAGCACTGGAAAGCTTTCCCTCTGAATATCTGAGAAGAAAGCACTCTACCCCTGAGTAGCACATCCCTGCTGGCTTTCTGGACCAGATAATTCCTGAAGCAGTAGATGAAGGGATTCAGCAGGGGTGACACTATGGTGTTGAAGAAAGCCACTCCTTTGTTGAGGGTCATGTGCCCAGTTTGAATGGGCTTCAGGTACATGATTATGAAGCTCCCGTAGCTGAGCGACACCACCAGCATGTGGGAGGAGCAGGTAGAGAAGACCTTGCTGTGGCTCCCAGATATGGGCAGGTGCAGAACAGTGCAAATGATGCAGCAGTATGACAAAACCGTCACCTGCAGAGTGCTGACCAGGGTGCACACGGCCACCAGGAAGCTGACCAGCTGCAGAAKCCTGGTGTCATCACACACCAGCTCCAGCAAGGGAGTGCTGTCACAAAAGAAGTGGTTGTGGATGTGGGGACCGCAGAAATGCAGGAAGAACATCCAGGCACACAGCGCGCCGAGGACCAAGACGCTGGTGACGCAGCAGGCCAGCACCAGCTAGCTGCACACTCGGGGCGTCATGAGAGTGGGATAGTGCAGTGGGCGGCAGATGGCCATGTAGCGGTCACCAGTCATAACAGCCAGCAGCAAGGACTCCACCGTGCCCAGGATGAAGTAGAGCCTTGTTTGCATAAAGCACCTGGCACGGGCAATGGTCCTGTGACCGGAGAGGAGGTGGGCCAGCATCTGTGGGGTGACCGTGGAYGTGAACCCCACCTCCAGCAGAGAGAAATGGTGCAGCAAATAGTACATAGGAGTGTACAGGCGGTGGTCGGCCAAGGTCAGGGTGATAATGAGCAGGTTGCCCAGGAGGGTCAGCATGTAGATGACCAGGAGCACTGTGAATAGAAGGAGCTGGAGCCCTCGTACGTCTGTGACCCCTAAAAGCTCAAAATCCAGCACGGCAGTGAGGATGGGTTCATGAGGTACCATTGCCCAAGCACCAGGCTGGGGGTGGAGGCTCTCCTAGCTTGGTCCCTGTGTTTGCTCCTGGCCTGTCTTTAGTCTTTTGGTCTATGTGGCTTTTTGGAAATGCAGAGACAGTCACTTCAGGAAGTAATACTTACTTTCATCATGAGAGTTGGCTCCTGCTTCCTCCAAGAAGACTGCTATCTGATGAGTAAAAACTGGGTGTCGTGCACACCTGTCATCCCAGGGACTCAGGAGGCTGAGGCAGGAGGATCACCAGTTCAAAGTCAGCCTCAGCAAAAGCAAGGCAGTAAGCAATTCAGTGAGACCCTGTTTCTAAAAAAAAATACATAATAGGGCTGGGGATGGTGTTCAGTCATTGAGTACTCCTGAATTCAATCCACAGCAACCCCCTGCAAAAATAAAAACAACAATAACAACCACAAAAAAGAGAGATATAATGTTGGACACAAACAGGAGACACAAACCTACTTGAGCACTGTGTAGTAGTCACATTAAAAGAAACAGGAAAGCCAGGGGCTAGAGAAATCCCCTGTCATCCCAGGAAGTTGGGAGGCTGAGGCAGGAGAATCACAAGTTTAAGGCCAGCCTCAGCAACTTAGTGAGACCCTGTCTCAAAATAAAAATAAATTCATAAATAAATAAATAAATATATTCAGAGGTGTAGCTCTGTAGGGCATGGCTGCCCACTTCCTGGTCTTGGGGCTGCACATGTGGCTGGGATGGCTCCTGGTGATCAGCCAGGAGGAGGTTCTGTGGCCAGTGATGGAAGAGGCGGACCACCTCCAGGATAGGTCCAGGACTCTCCCGCCCTCGTGGACAGCTCGTGCTTCCCTTACAGACTATGGGATGGGTGTACACGTGAACTCACTCCACCCTCTGACCTATATCCTGATTGGTTCCTGTGCAGTATATAAGCTGTGTGTGCTTCCTCAATAAACGAGATCCTGCTTCGATTTGTCTCCCTGGTGCATCTGATTGTCCTCCAGCGAGGGAGGGCTGGGTGCGGGCCGCCAGTCGACCTTTACATTTTTTGGCTCGTCTTGGTCAGGGCATGCTTTCCCACTTCTCCTGCCAGTCAGGAGGGGATGGGGGGCTAAAAACCCTGACATCTGGCACCTGAACAGGGACGCCGAACCCGGACACCAGAAGTATCGGCGAGTCAAGCCAAGTGAGTTTCAAGGTAAGGGTATCCCTGGAAAGATGGGGCAATCTTATACTAAGTACAATGACCCTGACTGGGAAACCATTGTTAAGGAGCCTCTTGGGTCACAGCGAGTCAGTCCTCTTGCTGCCCAGGAGGAGAAAGATTTAAAACCTCACTCTGACAATGGCCTCCTAGATCCTTTTGATCCCTAGCCTGGTCCTCTGGGTTCCACACCAAGTGCCCCTGTCCCAGAATACGTGGTAGAGAGTCAGAATGGGGAGTGGCCTCCGCCATATTACCACCCCTCCCACCACGGAAATTCTTCGCCCTCTCGTGCAACCCAGAAAAGTCGGGTAAGCCACCATCTTGTATGGCTTTCCCCGTAAATGCTTACCCTGGGGGCCATAGACCAGCCTTATGGTATCCCTGGGAGGCCCAAGATTTGAAAGAACTCAAAAAGGCCGTCTCTGAGGATGGACCTAATTCACCCTGGGCCGAAACCATCCTCCAGGGTCTGGCCCACCAACAGTGTACCACCCAAGACTGGAAAGACTTAACCAAGGCCGTGCTTCCTGGTCCCCTGTACCTGAAGTGGTGTGATTTCTTTAATGAGGAGTGCCACGCTCAGGCTGAGAGAAATCAGGCTTTAATCCCCCCAGTTCCTGTAACTTATGGGATGCTGCCAGGGTCCAGTGATCAATTTTCCACAGGCCTTCAGCAGGCTGCTATCCCTGCCCCCTACCAGGAGCAGGTATGGGCTTTAGGACTGGCGGCATGGAAGAAGTTGGAGGAAGGCCCCTCAGAGCCCCGGGTAGCAGGAATTACTCGAAGGGCTACCGAGGATCTTGCCACCTTCATCAAGAGGGTGGAAAAGACCCTCCAAAGAAAATTCCCCCCAGGGTCCCATTGGGACCAGTTTGTCAAGATGCTGGTCTGGGAGGGGATAACCACAGACCACAAACTAGCCTGTGCGGGGATAAAGGACAGATCTATGGGGAGGTGGATAGTGGCCACTAAGGATGTCGGTACTCAGACCCACCAATCACAGTCGTTGGTCGCGGCCTGGCAGGCCCCAGTGGCTTCGCTTTGCTGAGGCCCTTACTACCGCCCTCGCCTCTTCCAGTGGTGCCGGGAGAGGGGTTTGTTATGGATGTAGTCAACAGGGCCACTTCAAGAGAGAGTGCCCTACAGGACGAATAAGACCCAGTGCCTCGCAGGGACGTCCCTCAGACTGGGGGGGCCAAACTCCGCCTTAGATGCATTGCCCCCATGTAGAAAGGGATTCCATTGGCAAAGGAATTGGAAGTCCAAATTTGATGTTGAGGGGAAGCCTTTAAACTAATAAGGGGTGCCCTCCAGCCCTAATACCCAAAGGAGGCACTTCGCCTAGTGGCCCGCCTAGGGTCCACTGGACAGTCCCCATAATCCCGGGAATCAGGCCCAAAATGGATATCTTCATAGCAGGGAAAAAGTTCCACTGCTTGATTGACACTGGAGCAGACCGGACAGTATTAAGGAAAGAGGAGGTTCCCCCACTGTGGAAGCTGATTCCTGGACCTCAGTTATTGGGGGTGGGGGGTGATACAAGGTCTGGAGAAACCAAGGACTGGCTTACTTGGAAGGATGTAGATGTGAGTCAGGGAGAGGTACGCCCGCTGGGGGCATCTGGCCTGACAGCTGATCTGAAGGGACAGGGTATTTTTGGGGAAGCTGAGGTGATCATCACCACAGATCACAAAGGGATATATGATATCCTAGAGGAAGAAAGGTGCCAACAACAGTTTGGCCCATCGGGTCCCCTTAGCGATGATCGGGGGGATGCACTTTTTGAGACATTGAGGCGGAACACTCCTGCACCCCGAGTGAGGCCTCACCCCCAATCCTAGAGGCCACTGTTCCTACCGTCCCTGCCATTCAATGGCTTCTGGGCCCTCCAGTGTGGGTGGCACAGTGGCCGCTTCCCCTAGATAAACTACAAAAATTAATAATATCAGAACAACTGACCCCAGGGTATATTAGGCCCTCCCTGAGCCCTTGGGACAGTCCTAAATTTGTCATACAAATGGGCCACAGGGAAATGGAGACTGTTATAAGACCTAAGAAAGGTTAGTCAGCGGATGATTGCCATTGGTACCCCCTTGCAAGGGCTACCCTGGATCCCCTCCATCCCTCAGGATTTGACTCTCATGGTGATTGACATCAAGGATTGCTCCTTCTCTATTCCCCTTGATCCCCAGGACTGAGAGAAGTTCACCTTCTCCGTTCCCTCTATTAACTTCCAGGGGCCATCCCAAAGATATGAGTGGGTGGTGTTACCCCAAGGCATGGCTAACAGTCCAGCCTTTGTCACCATTATGTTTCACAAGTCCTGCAACCTCTTCGGACATGATCGGTCATAATTCTATATGTTTACATGGCTATGACATCATTATTGGGACAGTGGACGCCAAAGCGTTAGGCTCCACCTATAAGGAACTCCAGACTCTCTTACAGAAGGGAGGATTACATGTATCTAATGACAAAGTCCAGACCTTACCCCCTTTTAAAATTCTAGGGGCTGAACATAAGTTGGACTCTGTCTGTCCCCTTAAGCCTCAATGACTTTTCCAGTCGTCCTACCTACACCTTGGTGGAATGACAGAAACTGTTGGGCAAACTCAACTGGTTAAGGCCCTGGCTTCACCTGCCTACAGAAGACCTGTTTTCGCTTTTCCAGTCTAAGAGATAAAGTCCCCACAGATATCATCACAATGACTGCATCGCATCAATTGACATACCAAAAGACTCAGTCAGCCTTAAATGCAGCACAATTGGCTCGCTATAGGCCCCAATGCGCCCTCGGTCTTTGGATCCTCCCTGGCTTGGAGCTTTCTTCGGCCTCCATTACCCAGTTAGGCGACCTCTTCAATGGATACATGCGTCTGTGGGAGGGACCCTTAGGGTCTATATTAAGTTAGGTAAAACCCAATTACTCTTCTGATGATTCGAATCCGATCCTTGTTGAAAGAGTGGGCTGAGCCCATTTTTCTGCAGCATCTCAGGGGACACCAAGAGTTACCCGGAATCTTGACACAGGGGAACCAAATGGCTGATTGACTGGCTACCAATGGGACTATCATAGCTAGCGCTCAGTCTCAACAGAACCTTCAGATGGCTCAAGGACTTCATGAACTTACTCACTTAAACTGGAGAGGGTTACATCAAAGATTCCCCCTGATCCCCATAAAAGATTTTAAAAAGATCATAAGGACATGTAAATCATGTATGCTGTTTTTACAGGTCCCACCTCTTCAATCCCCCGGGCTCAACCCCAGGGGCCTCAGACATAATGTCGTCTGGCAAACTGATGTGAACCACTATGCATCTTTTGGAAAATTAAAATATATATTTATGTCTATAGATACCTATTCACATGCTTGTTGGGCAACTGCTCATTCAGTTGGAAAAAATGTCTGACAGCCATTTCCTACAATGTTTTGCCATTTTGGGATTACCCCTACAGGTTAAGACAGACAATGGACCCTGCTTTGTGAGCAAATCATTCCAAGAATTCTTCCAAACTTGGAATATTAAACACACCACTGGAATACCACGATCCAAAAGGTCAAGCTATAATTGAGAGGCATAATAAGACCTTAAAGGACCAACTAATCAAACAAAAAGGGGGAAGCAACCCCCATGACCAATTAAGTACAGCCATGCTTACATTAAATATGTTAAATTTTTCCAAAGACCAACCTCTACCTGCTTTCCAGAGACATTGGTCTAATCAGACACCTTCTTTGAGGGTAGAGGTCCAGTGGAGGGACGCTCTTCCTGGATCATGGTGCAGTCCTGATCCCCTCATTAGTGCAGG